GAGGAACGGTCACAATGCCAACACTGCTTTCCTCTGTGCTCCTTCAGCCTCAGGTCTCGCTCCTGGCCCCTCCCACTCCAAGGAGCCAGATCAACCAGCAGCACAGCCCTGGGCAGCTACAGGGGGGTGGGAGCCTCTTGCCTGCCATTTAAAATTTTTTTTAAAATTAAGCCAATCAGGGAGATTTTTCTTTTTTGAGGGTAGAGGGACAATGGAAAAGGGGTTGAGGAACAGCAAAGGTGGGGGGGCGGGGGAGGACCAGTCTACAATCCAGTGGTACATCCCAACTTTCTGCCATTCTCCACAGTTGGTTCCAAGCCCCAAATCCAAGATGCACGAGCTCTCAGTGTGCCCAGGCTATGTGGGCCTGTCCAAGAAACAGCAGCTGGGCCTCTGCCCCGGGTCACTTAAGCTTCAGTTTGAAGTGGCAGCAATGGGTTTGTCCAGTTCAAGGTCAATGGTGGAGCTCGTGGGATGGAGGCTGCTGTAGCAAGACTTGCACACTCGACTGGGTTCGAAGAGCTGCTGGCTGGGAACCGGAACCTTCTGGTTACAACAACTGGAGCAGAAGACATTCCCACAATTCCTTGAGGTGAAAAGATGACAAAACAATGTTAATTTTAATGATCAAGTTTGAGGTGGGGAAACCAACTTCAGAAGACAGACTTTGTGTGAGACTCCGACGTGCTTGAAAGTCCTCTAAGACCAAATGCTTCCATTTCCCTAACCCAGGGTGGGCATCCCTGCTCCGTGTGGTCACATCCACACCAACTCCAGGTTCCCAGAGACACACGAGCATGCTGCTTCAGGGACACCTGTGAGAACACACGGGACCCATAGCAGAAGGAGCGCACGCTCCATGGGAAAGTCCTGGCCCCAGGAGCCTCAAGCGCTACATCCGCCTGGACAATGGCCTCTCTGTAGCTTGTCAAAACCGAGAGGCCTAAATCAAGTGGCACCACTGCCTCCAGGCCCCTCACCCAACTCAGCCAGACGGAGGGTGTGGCACCTTGCCCAAGTGCCACTCCCCAAGGGCCAAGGGCAGCAGCCTGGAGCGTGGACAGCTACCACCTGGGACTGCCCTGCTGGCAGCATGCAAAGTCCGGAGACAAGCAGTGGGGCACCAAGTTCTGAGACTGAAGGGAGGGGAAGTGGAAGGACAAGACCACAGAGGCACACACGTGCACACACACACTTGATTAGGTCGATGTCAGTTAATTATGGTTCGTTCCCCTGCCCCATGCATCTCCAAGGAAATCCCAGCTCTGGCGAGACCTCCCCTGAAGGCGAATGCCGCCCTTCACACAGGGAACAAGAGGACGAGTCTCTGCTCACCGTATGACTCTACTTTAGCTAGTCCTTAAGGGCAAATGGATCCCAGTGAGCTCAGAAATGACCAGTCCCAGGAGCCTGGCCCAGGCCACTACGACCAAGTGATGGGCAGCTGGACAGCTCACTGGGAATGCACACCCACTTTGGGAGGAAGCACTCCTCGTGGGAGGAGGGCCAACTGAGAAAGGAGAAGCAAGGACAGGGTGCTAAAGGAGAACTGCACCAAACACGCAAAACTCCATCTTCTAGAGCCCAAGAAAAGCACTTCATCGACTGCTTCCAAAAAGCATGAGTCAGAAAGGACAGGTGGTCACACAGAAAAACTACCTAAATTTACTTCCAAATGTCGACATTTATCCTGTTAGGATTCAGCTCAAAAGCCTGGCTACGTTTGTCCGATCTGATTTCTCTGAGGGGACTTTGAAAGCACTGGAGTCTTCCCTGAACGCCTCCCATGCTCACATGTCTCTGGAAAGACAGACTCTTTAAAAAGCAGTGACGCTGTTTAACTGCGGAGTGACTACCGTCAACCTGGCACCTCAGTGAATGAGTGAAGAAAAAAAATGTGGGGGGGGGGTGTTGTTCTGGTTTCCCCACAAAGGCCTCAAGCCCAGTTGGAAGCATCCTTGTGGGTGAGCTTTGTGGTCAGAAGAGGGGTACATGACTCAGCCTGACCCAGGCCTACAGGAGCCTCAACCAGCGGCTCTGCTGTTCCTCCAGCGCCCAGCCTGCCTGCCCCTCCCCGGCCCCCCCGCATCCATTCCAGTGAGGGAGGGGAACTACAGAAAGGACAGCATTAGTTTGAGGAAGTTATTATCCATATGCAGACATCACAGACAGGTTGCTGCAAATGCTCACCACGTTTGATCAACACAGTCAGTGGCCCTGCAAGGAGGGGAGACAGAGCTCAGAGGAGAGGCTGATCAATGACATGGGAATGAAATGCAGGGTAGGGAGAGAGATGAACCTAGAGACATCTTTATTAGACAATGAGGGACATTTTCACTCCAGGTCACTGGTAAGGGTGAGCTAAGCTAGACTTCCATACACAAGAAACGCTGGCCATCTGGCTCAGTCACCCCTCAGCTTAGCAAAACAACTCTAGTCCCTCACTGACTGCCCTAGCCCAAGAGGGGCATCTTACGGACTCGAAGGCTGTCCTTAGCTTCCCTAGGACCCCCAACCCACCCGCAGCACACGGGAAGGCCAGTTAGGGCCAGGGAACAGAGTATGTGAAGTTCCCTCTCACGTCAGGAAAACAGAGTAGCCATGTCCAACAGGAAGACATTCCATTCTGGGAATAAGAGACGGTGGTTTGGATGGCAGCTGTTGCTCCATTTATTCTCGAAATAAAACAGAAGCCTCTCACATGCACATTACCATATTTAACAGTGATCACTAAATTGGAACAAAGTTATCAATTGCCATTCTATAAACAGCAACTTCAGAGGCACAAAAGGTAAGTGGAGGGCCTGTACAGGAGTGTTCGCCTCAGATAGAATCGTACCAGCCAGGCACCTGGCTGGTCTCTCTCCACTGTCCTGTGGGTCAGACCTCAGCCTCCATGCCCCTGGGCATCCCCACCCCAAGGGCACCTGCAGTGATGCTTCCTGCTGGCGAGCCAGAAGGCACTGTCACACGCAAAGCAGTGGGCAGCCAGGTGGTCAGGGAGCCAACGGGTCATCTGCAAAACAGACGGGGCCAGGTTAATGAGAGGAAACGGGCCATTCAGTTGGAGCCAGCAAGCCACACGGGGGCAGCAGCAGTCACGAGGACCACCCCGGCCCGTGGCACCAACCCAGCAGGGTGCACTGTCAGCAGTACAAGAAAGGCGTCCAAATCGTTTCCCTGGAGGGGACTCAACACTCCCCTGAGGTCAAGTGGCAGCAGCAGCACTTGAGTTGCTAGGAGAGTTGGCAGGGCTTCACTCACAGAGGCCATGAGGCAAGGAAGACCGTCTTGCCGAGTGTCCCCGGCTCGAGAATTCTAGGCTTGATGGGGCTGGCGGGAGCTGTGACGCCTGAGGCTCAAGGCTCACTGTGCTACGATGTTCTTCCTTGGCCAGGGGCATGGGGTAGGGATGGGGTTGGAGAAGACCCACAAGAACAGTTGCATGGAAGGTGCTCAGAGCAGGGACTGAGCCTGTACCTCCGTGTCCTGTTTATCCACCTGCTCCCAGCTGGTTTCAGAGAAAATCTCTGTGCTGCAGCGAGACAAACAGTTCTGATCCAGATTGCTTTCCAAGCCGGGGATTAAAGTCTGTTGGCAAACAAACACAGCTGAACAGAATGAACCTGGTCTCCTCCCGAGAGAAGGAGAAAAGGGTGGGTAAAGAAGGGAGCAGCGGGAGCTACGTTTGGGCCTGGATGTTTTTAGGCTGCCAAGTCTTTAGAGGCACGGCCAGTGAGAATCTGAATGTGCAGGTGCAGAGACTAGGTGGCACTCGGCTGGAAGAAGGTCGCTGACATATTTAAGGCTGTGCCTGAGCCCTTGGGGTTCCGGGAAGTAAGGCTGTGGGGGGTGGGGTCTCCAGTGTCAGCTGAAACACATTCCAGTGGTCCGCTTACCAGACCCTGCCACTTAGCTCCACCTGAGTGCTTTGGGCACACCTTCCTTCCTCTGAGGGGCTCTTCAGGAAAACGAGGAGAGCATGAGGAATATGAAGGAAAGCCAAGAAGCCCCTCTGAACCAGGAGACACGGGACGACGCCTGCCTTTACTGCTCGCCTCACACTTGAAGTTGAGCGCGTTGAGTCAGAGCTTCCCGGTAAGGAGTGCCCCTGCGGTGCGCCTGCTTCATCACTGGCTCCCCCATCACTTCTAGCCACCGAGCCCCATCAGGGCTAACTCCTCAACCATACTCAAAACCAGCCCTCTCCTGGTCTGCACCCACTCCAGGTGATAACCACGTTAACAACAAACAAGCAAAACACCCAAACCTTTACAGCTTCAGCCCTGTCTGATTTTGTGTGAGGGCAGGGGTGTGTGCGACTAATTTACTAGCTACTAGGTGGGGCAGGCACTGTAATTCGGTGGGAATATTATTCAGCACTGCCATACAAAATCGTTGTGTCCAAAAATTGAAACTCTTCAAGACATATGATCCTCTCACCAAAGACATGCAGCCCACCACGCACGTAAGTGGTAACTCACTCCCTAACCCTGATGGCCAGAAACAGGACGGCGTTCTCGGAGAGTAAGCCAGGCTGAAAGAGGCAGAGCTCCATTGACAGGGTTGAGGCTCGTCTCCAGCTTCTCTCGACACGAAATGCTCTGGACTTTTCCAACCCTGTACCCATCACCATGCACGGGCACAAAGGACACCAGTCTCGGCATGCCCTGTCCCCTTGGCCAGCCAAGAAGGTACCAGGGGGTACTCACCACTTCATCCCCAAAGTCCCCATTGAAACGTAAGGAGCCAGTCAGGTATTGGCTCTCCAGGCGACTCCTCAGCTCCTGAACCTGCTTCTTCAAGATCTCCACTTCCTGCTGATGGCCAGACTCAATCTGACGCAGGCGCTGCTGGATAGTGTCCGTGTAGACAGGCATGCCATCGTCATCCAGGTGGCTTCGAGAAGGCTGGTCAGGGCTGCTGGTTACAGACAGCCTTCCTGAGTGGCTGTGCAGCCACTTGTGGTGCAAGTTCCGTGAGTGTATGTGGGTGGAGTTGCAGCTCCCAGTAGATAGCTGGCGTATCAGGGCGTCCTTGCTCCGACCAGCCTCGCCATTAGTGCAGTGCCCATTGGGCGTGGGGTACTTCTGGAGCATGTTAACCTCCGGAGGCTGCTCTGAGGCCTTGTTTTCAGTCTCTGGGGCGCCATTGCATATAAATCCCTCTTTACATTCAGCTAAAGGCAAGGCACCAGGGGAACGTGTGGGGCTGCGAGTACGGCCAGAGGAAGTCCTGTGCACCTCAGGCCCCACTGGAGGTCTCTCAGCCAGGCTTCTCTCCGGAAGCCTGGGCTCCATGGCGTGGGCAACCATGGCCTTGCCAGTGAGTCTGTCACTGTGTACCAGACAAGGTCTGTGATGGCTGTGGGGCCCAGGATCTGGCTTCACCTTCTCTTCCATCAACATGTCCACGGAACTGTCCACATGTGGTCCTCTGGTCTCACAGGGGACATGGGTGGACGGCAGAGAACCTGGCTGTGTGGGGCCGCAACCTGCCTGTGCATCTACTGGAGGCGCAAGCAGCAGCTCCTCCGGATGCTCTGGAGTGCCTCCTCCCAGAGGGGGCTCCACAGAGATGGTCTGGGTGTCCTCCCTGCCAGGGGGCACTGAGAGCTGACTTGTGAACACACTGGGCCCGCCTGGCTGCTCAGAACAAGCCTGTGAGAATACCGACAGGCTGGTGCCTGCGTGGCTCCCTTGGGGGGTCTCCTCCAGCTCTGGGTCTCTATCTGCGACAAAGGCGGGACCCTCGGGCATCTTCCTCCAGCTCTCCTTTTCCAAGAGCGGCTCCTCTTTGACTGCTCGGAGCTGCACGACTGCCCTCTGGGCCAGCTCCTCTAGACCACCCTCCTCTTTGGAGGCCTCTTGCAAAATGTTCTCCATCTGCCCCTCTGCCACCCCAGCTGCAACCAGCAGCTCAGCACCCCCCAGTACTCTGGCTGGCTTCCCCGGGCTGTCAGCATCTAGGGGCTCCTCCCCAGGCCCAGCCAGGCTGCTCAGTTCCAATGAGCGCCGGTGCTCCTGCCACTTCTCATTCAGGCTCGGGTCACTGCTGCGCCGGCTGGCCAGAGGCATTGTGCTGTCGCAGGCTGTGGTCAGATTGTCAAATGATCTAGTCTTTGGTAGCCTAAGAGAAAGGAGTGTGGGAGAAAAGAGAGTCTGTGAAGTCAGTCCCAGGGCAGGAAGGTGACCTCAGGTTTCAAGGAGCAGTTGCTTCCTCGTGGATCCTTTACAGCCACTCCAGGAGCTAGGGCCTCTCTGAATGAGGCATGGGCTCCCAGAGAGCCCCAGCTCCCAGTCCTGGTCTGCAGGTCCTTGTGCCCTGCTCCCACACCCAGGGCACACAAATAAACTAACACCAAATGTTATTTGAAAACAACACTTCTCCAAGAGACAGTGTATTTTTCAACTAAGGGAAAACCAAAGTAGGATTGCTGACCCGTAATTGATATATTAACTTACTAACTAGCCGTATAAATTCAATCATTTCACAAATGGCAGATTCATGGGTGTCTTTCATTGTTCAGCATCTATCTGCCTTTTAGAGCAGAGGGGAGGGAGCCTGGTGGGAAGGGGGACAGGTATGCTGGGCAGTGGGTGACATACACACCAGGGGGACTCAAAGGGCCCAAAGGTCTGCTCTATCTCCGAGAAGCCTCTCCACACGTGCAGTCAAGCGAAGCCAGCCCTGGAGGAAGCCAGGCTGGCTCTCAGAAGTCCTTTTGCCTTCCTTGAGGTAATGCCCCAGATCTGAGATGCTCTGACCACCTTTAGGCAGATCCCAACTCAAGAGCACCCACACACGACGGGCGGCCTACGGCATCAGCGCCAGGCTCACCGGCTTGGGGGTGATTCATCGGGGCCGGGCCCTGGGGCTGGGTACGGGGCACAGCTGTCCTCTGCAGGGGCGGACGGGGATGAGGAAGGCAGATACACTGCGCTCCACAGCATCAGGTTACGCACGTGGCACACTGGGTACAGCACCTGGGGGGAGAGGGGGGTGCAGGTTAAACACAGCCACAGCAAGTCTTTCAGAAACGTCTGGAAGTGAGGAGCAGGAGCAAGAGCAGGCCCCCAAGCTGGAGGAACAAAAGGCCCAGCACGTTCTCCGAGGAGCAGTAGCATCCAGTCCACCTCCCTGGAGGGCCTGGGAGAAGGAGAGCGTGAGCAGCTGAAGAGGATTTTTTAAATACTCACTTCTCATTCGTTATTCTTTAGGTGACCTTTGTTGAATGACTGACTCTCATCAGCTAGATTCGCTACTTTCACTGCATAAGAAAGTGAGTCATTCTGTTAGTCGGTGATTGTCTGCTCCCTTGGTACAAAAACTTGGCTTCAGAAGACACTGCCAAGCCTGTTTCATAAGATCACTGAAAGTAATCATGTGGAAAGGGTGGGATTTGCTCCAGAGTTGTTACTTCCCGCAGCAGCACAGTGAGAGGCAGTTGGCTGAAGTCTTCCCTTTGACTACTCAAATTGAGTGAAAAGCATGGGATCGGTCCACAAAGTAGTATGCCCTCCAGTCGGCCTCCGTCTGACTCCTTAGCATTTCTTCTGATGCATTCTGACAGAGGGATGGATCCCTCTATTCTGACACATGCGTGAGGGGCTCCTTTTCACTGACAGAGGCTATTCCCTGGAGAAACAGTCTGGAAGGACTGTTCGTTCCCCGTGTGTACCAAAGTCACACAGACTTGGTTTTCTGCCAGGACAAACACCTGCAGTGAAGAGCACTGGGGGTGGGGGGTGGGGGGGGCAGCTTCTGTCAGTTACGTTCTTTGAAGAACTTAAGTGGCTCTTCCACACATCAGACAGAACAAGCCAGAATTGAGCCAAGTTCATTGGGCAAGATTCTCATCCAGAGTGGCAGAGATGTGCATTCAGTCAAACCACCCTAACCAAAGCTTGGTCAGAAGCAGGTCAGAGCTCACAGGAAAAGGGCAGTTCACAGAATGGCAAGAAAAGCCAGGCAAGAAGCTCCCTCTCCACCCGACCCCAGAGGCGCCCTCCTGCTGACCACAGAGGAAAGGCTGACGGGTACATACGGCTTCGGACTGCGAAGAATACAGGAGGTTTTTGAAAGCCTTGTTGCCTGCCCGAAGAAGGGACCACACAGAACAAGTCCGGTCCTGGGTGTGCTTCTCCCCTCTCTCCTTGGCGTTGTTGCACAGGAATGTCCCAAAGAGGCAGGAGTAGGTGTGCTGCACCAGTTTCACCTGCGGGAAGGCAAAATGGAGCCAGGTGGCACTCTCTGCGGAATGACCACAGCCACCTGACATCCCAGAGCACTCACAACCCCTAAGCTTGGGGGAGGGGAGTAAGCCACACACGGCCTCCTCCCTCCTCACAGGGCCCACCCCAACCTCCACCAGTCTTGAACCGTAAGATCTTAGGGAAAATCCCCACAACTCTTCACCCAACACTCCCCTCCCCCCGACCCCCCACATACACACCTATCACCATCCCTGAAATCCCAACCTCATGACCAACAGAGCACTGGGACCTGGCTGCAAGAGTGGGTCAGTGTGCAACCCAAGTATGCATTCAGCCTGCATCATTCTGAGCATCCTGCATGCCCCAGACAGCACCGCTTCCACAAGCACACAGTCCCAGGAAGCTGATCCTAGCGGGAGCTGAGGTGGAGGTGTCTTATGCTTTGGAGAACAGTGCAGCAGGCGAAGAATGAAGGTTGTTGCATATTGCAGGTTGTTAATGAGTCAGCACCCCTCCAATCCTGAGGCTGTGATTCTTCCTCTAGTCCTATTTCATTGACTATGCAAAGGCACATAAGCTATGCAAAACAATGGGGATTACAGACCACTTAATTGTGCTCATGCAGAACCTTTCCAGAGACCAAGAGACAACTGCTTGAACACAAGAGGAGAGGGCATGGTTTAAAATCAGGAAAGGTGTACATCAGGCTTCCATCCACAAGTAGACAAAAATTAAAGCCATGACACTGGGTGAGTGAGATCTTGTAGAGAGGGAGCGTTGCTCAAAAAGCCGCCTGGAGACTGTGCCCTGAGGTACAGCAACATTCAGAGCAGATGAAGAGGAAGTGGCATAAGAGACAGAAAGAACCAGCCAGAAGTTAAGAAAACCCAAGAGTGGGTGCTAACTAAGTCGACTAAAAACCACCACCACCACTACAAACATTTTAAGAAAGAAGAAGGGAATTAAGAAGGCTAGCTTAACTAGTAATGAAAAGCAGAAGATTTTCAGAAACTGTCAGATGCTCTCAGGAGAGAAGCACTCGGAACACGAGTGAAGACGAGCTACTCTCTCAAAGCAGAGTCAACCCTAACACTGTGCGTGCAGGACAGCCAGCAGGAGGAAAGCCTGGGGACCTGCATTTGTGCCGTGACATGACTCAAAATGAGAACAACCAGCTGCAAACAGCAATTAACAATTGGAACTTGAAATGTATGATGTATGAATCTAGGAAAATTAGAAGTCACAAAAAAGGAAATGAAATACATTTTCAAAAAAATCAATATTCTAGGTGGTGTGAGCCGAAATAGACTGGTAATGGCCATTTTGAATCAGGAAATCATGTTTTAGTATGCTGGGAATGATAAAAATCAAGAGGAATAGCTTTGTATTCCAAGTAAAAAAAGACATTTCAAGACCTATTCTGAAGTACAATGTAGTCTGTAATAGTGTTATATCTATCAATATCCAAGGAAATCCAATCCATACCGCTATTAATCAAATTTACATGCCAACTTTTAAAACTATAGTGATGAAGAAATTGAAGAATTCTCCCAATCTCTTCAGTCTGGTGTCTACCAATCAGGATGTGCTCATTATTGGTGATTGGAATGCAAACGTTGGAAACAAAGAGGCAGGAACGCCTGTTGGAAAATACGCTCTTGGTGACAGAAACAGCTGGAGATGGCATGACAGAATTTTGTAAGACCAACAACCTGTTCACAGCAAAATGCTTTTTTTTTAAGCAACACAAAAGACAACTATACACGTAGACTCCTCCAGATAGAATAGACAGAAACCAAATTGACTACATCTGTGAGAAGACAATGGAGAAGCTCAATATCTGCAGCTAAAATCTTATCAGGGACCAACTATAGAACAGACCATCAATTGCTCATTGGAAAGTTCAGGTTGAAGTTGGAAGGAAAGAAAACAAGTTCACAGAAGACAAAATCTGACCTTGAATACATACCATCGAGATTTTGAGATCTCACGAACAGAACTGATGCATTAGACACTGCTGGCAAAAGACCTGATGAGTGTGGGATGACATCAAGAGCATCATAATAGAGAAAGCAAAGGGTCATTGAAAAGACAAGAAAGAAAAGATCAAAGTGGACGTCAGAAGAGAAAAACTTGCTCTGAATTGTAGAGTAGCTAAGGTCAATGAAGAAATAAAGTCAAAGAGATGAACAGAAAATTTCAAAGGGCAGCTTGAGAAGACAAAGTATTATAACAAAATGTACAAAAGTAAAGGTAGAAAACTTGAAAGGAAGAACACTCTCGGCATATCTTAAACTGGAAGAACTCAAGAAAAAAAATTAAGCCTTGAATTGCAATCTTGAACGATTCCATGAGCAAAATATTGAATGATGCAAGAAGCATCAAAAGAAGATGGAAAGAATACACAGTGACATTCAGCCACTTCAAGAGGTAGCATATGAGCAAGAGCCAGCGGTACTAAAGAACAAAGTCCAAACTGCACTGAAGGCATTCGGGGAAGCGAGGCTCCAAGAACTGCTGGAGTACCAGCTGACACGTTGCACTGAGCTGCCGATGCACATCTAAGCCAGGACATCCGGAAGGTATCTTTATCTATTCCAAAGGAGGGTGACTCAACAGAATGTGCAAACTGTAGAATATCATTGATTATCACATGCAACTAAAATTTGCTGACGGTCATCGAACACTGGTTGCAGCAGTGCACTGACGGGGAGTTGTCAGAGGTTCGGGCCAGGTTCAGAAGAGGACACGGAACCAGGGATAGATATCATTGCTGATATCAGATGGATATTGGATCAAAGCAAAGAATACCAGAAAAATGTTTGCCTGTGTTTCATTGACTATGCCAAGTGTAGATCAAACAAATTATGAATAACCTTGAGAAGAATGGGAATTCCAGAACACTTCATTGTGCTCATGAGGAACTTGTGGTGTAAACAGAACACGTGAATACAGTATTATTTAAAATCAAGAAAGGGTTGAATCCTCTCACCATACTTTTTCAATCTGTGTGCTGAGCAAATCATCAGAGAAGCTGGCTTATAGGAAGAAGAAGGTGGCCTCAGGATTCGAGGAAAGCTTAATAACAACCTGCAATATGCAGATGACACAACCTTGCTGGCTGAATGTGAGGAGGACTTGAAGCACCTGCTGATGAAGAGCAAGGATTACAGTTTAAAGTAGGGAGGACGATCAAAATTCTCAACTGGACCAACAGGTACATAATGATAAACAGAAAAGGTTGAAGTTCTCAAGGATTTTTGTCTTGCTTGGATCCACAGTCAATGCTCATGGAAGCAGCGGTCAAGAGATCAAATGACACACTGCATTGGGTAAGTGCTGCACAAGACCTCTTTAAAGTGCTGAAAAGCAAGGATGCTACTTTGAGAGCTAGAGTATGTCTGACCCAAGCTATGGTACTGAATAAGGTTGACTGAAGACAAATAGATGCATTTGAACCATGGTGTTGGTGAAGAATAAAGTACCATGGGCTGCCAAACAGATGTGTCTTGGAAGAAGTGCAGCCAGAATGCTCCTTGAAAGGAAGGTTGGTGAAATTTGGTCTCAAGCACTTTGGACATGTTATCAGGAGAGACACTGGACAAGGACATCATGCTTGGTAAAGTGGAGGGGCGGTAAAGAAGACCCCGACAAGGTGGACTGGCGGCTGGTTCCTTCTGTTGTCCATCAGCTCACTGAGTCTGAATGGACTCAGAGGCACCCACGACCGTTCAGACTGTCCTTCTGGAGCACGGTGTGCTTTTAAGAACGAGCTACAGGAGGTCCAATTGTCAGCCGCAACTTGAAATACTAGATAGAAAACTTAGGGAGTAGAGACTTTATGTTAATGGGGGAGGAATAATTTGGAAAAGGTTCCATTTAACCACGGTCTCGAAATGATCTATTTAGGATTGTTATATATTCTACTATGTATATTCTCAGCAACAACAAATTATTTTTTTAAAGGAGGGGTGGATTAAGCTGTGCTAAATGCTACTCGAAGATCAAAGAAGATGACGCGTAAGAAGCCCTACATTAGCAACCCATGCTAGGCACCGTCACTTAACAAGCCTAGCTCTCATGAAGTGCTCCACGAGGAATCAGAGCTAGTGAGGAGCTCTGCTATAAAGGAGCAGCCCTGGTGCCAATGATCTGGCAGAGAAGCACGCACTGCTGTTGCAGGAGGCAAAGAACCAATCAAGTGCGAGGCCTGGGAGCTGCAGTGCATGGAAAGGGAGGGGTGAGGATAAGGCCAGAAGGCACCTCCGGTGGCAGAGGGCATGAACCCATACAGGCAGTTTGGTAGATGGATTGGAGGGAATATGGGAAATCCCTGATTATTTCTATGTTCTAATTGCTTTCCAGAGTTTCCTTCTAGAACCCCTTTTAAGAAACCTTGGTGGCACAATGATTAAGCGCTCAGGTACGTAGCGCATTAGCGAAAAGGTCGGCAAGAGAGAAGCCCTGGCGGTGCGCTCTTGTAAAAATTCCAGCCAAGGCCCCGGCAGGGATGCTCCACTCGGTCATCTGAGCCAGCCGCAGCAGCCCTGCAACACCTGCGCCAACCGGGGCTCAGCCTAGCGCACACACCTGGATTCACGGAGTAAACAGCTCCCGTTTGACTGTGGCAAAGAACCTCCCCTCTGTCAAATGTGTTCACGGTTTCATGTGAAACTGGCCCACTGACATCTGTGCCGGTGTGCCCCCCACCCCCCACCTTCAGGAGACCCCCTTCAACAGAACCATAAGCCCAACTCACAAGGAATGCTTCATTGAACTCAAAAGAACAAGGAAACTGCCTCTGAAGCTGATGAACACAGTCAAGCCACTGCAGAAACACTGGGCAACGCTCATTCAGATCGTCGGCGTTCTCCCCGTGACCACACCGGTCAGCAAACTTGTGGCCAAAATCCAGCCATTCCATCTCCACGAGAACCTGGAAACCCTGTGGGGAAGCACCCGGGAGAGACAATTACGCTCAGCTAGCCAACCTGTGGCCGCCTTGAGCCTGGGATCGCTGGCAACAACCCCTTCTCAGCCTGCCAGCAAGCCCGTTGGGAGAGCCTTGTCTGGGCCCACATCCCAGTTCTGCGCTTGTTGTGATTCAAGTTCAGGCTGAAGCAAAGTTCCCATTTCCCTGCTCTTCATTCCATAATCGCTGAAGAGTTCCAAACTATGCATTTATCTGACCGGTTCACAAGTATTCCTATTTTTAGATTATTTTACTCACTGCACAAAAAAACACTCTCTTCTAAAGATTAAAATTAATTATGTGTACAAAGACAGTTGCAAAATTCGTCTCCACCCCAGATTTTAGTCATTTTCCCATATATTTTAGGGTCCATCTTTAATCCAATAGGTAGTTATTTCAGTAGGAGTCTTTCACCACAGAACATTCCATGGTGGCACCTAGGCCCTTTATCACAGCTATGCCAAGACCTTTTTAACAGAAGGCCCATTCACCTGGCGAAGACAAAACTTCTGTACACAGACAGGCTGCCAACACATCTGTATGCTCATTCCCTTGTTACCCACTCCCTGGCTGCTCTGAAGATGGACACAGTAAAAAAGAGCAAAGTCATTTCGCTTTCTCTAGATCTACTCACTGCCCTCCAAATTAAGCTTAAGACTCTCAGAGAGGTTCTCACCAAGGGCGCTGACTTTCTCACACATGTTGAAGTAGCAAATGCACCCACCTCTATGGTTCGATAATATTGATCTAGCAAGAGCTTGGCCAATGCCACAATCTGGGGGGTTCGGTCCCAGCCGTCTGAGCAGTGCACCAGCACCGGTCGCTGATCACGGTCCACAGCATGCACCACCAGTAGGGCCGATTTCAGAAGCACAGACAGGTGATGGAGCCACTTTGTGCTTTCAAGAGCTGAGAGCCAACTACAAAAATAAAAACCAGAGAGGATAAGTCCCCTCCAAGTAGAATGCTGCAAATGCAAGGCGATGCGGGTGCTTACCCAGAGTCCCCGGGACAGACCTGACCCTGCTGTGCCGCGGGCAGGAAAGGCAGAGCAATTAAAAAGACCACTTTAGTGAGGGGAACTTCATAGGATATTTAATGTTCTTCAGTCCATGGCAGGTTCATGATAAGAAAAGTGGCTCTTTGGGGAATTTTCTGCTGCAGGAAACGTAGCCAATTCTGACATGCAAAAGATACTGGTATTTAACTACAATCAACCCTGTCCAACAATTCTCGTTAAAAGAGGTTTAAAAGGGGAGGGGGGGGGGGAATCTTCAAAAGCACATGCCTGTCTGTATCCAGAAATAAGGTGGATGGCTACATACAAGAATGTGGCCAAGACAGCCTCACTTGCTGCTAACACTTGAACACAACCATTTCTTCCAAATCTCAACTGTCTACTGACTCAAACTGATGGTTTGGATGGAAGCAAATGAGCCCACTAATGGCTACATGGGTATTGCTGGACTTAATACAGACTGGGGCTCAACAGGGAGCTAGCTAGAAGAAAGAACCCTTTCCCTAAAGACCTTCAAAAGCATCAGATCCCCTTGGCATTAATCATACATAAGCTAATCACAGTTTTGTTTTGTTTTTAAACTATGCACACATTTTCTTTCTTGTGCCCAAGTCATAAATTTCCCTCAACCCTCAACTCAAAAAGTAGCTGATTTCTCCTAAATGCAACCAGTCATTTTGGACACACGTCTAGCACTTCCAACACTCAGCCTGTGGAAGGAATAGATCCTGTCAGGGGGGCTCTGAGGCTTTACCCAAGACTAGGCTCAGAGCCCACTAAGCTCACAGGATGAGTAAGACATGGGCTGAGGAGTCTGCAGTAGTGCGTCTTTCCAGACACGGCCCCGAACCACCCTTCCCACCCCCACTCCGGGGCACGTAAGCCATATGCGGCTCTTTCAGTACATAGACATGGCTATGAAATAAAAGTGAAAGTGAATTATCAAATTATTATTCAGGTAATGGTTTCATTGGTAAAAATATATTTCTGGTTCTTGGATCATATTTAAATTGTTGTGAGGGGCAGGACTGGCTCTTCCCATCTCTGTTGTAGGCAGACAACAGAATGCTGTGTGAAAGCACTGGTTTCATATGGATGAGTTTGGTCTACCAACCAGACTGCATGCCCTCATGAGGCATACACTGTGTCTCCCTCCCAGCTGAACCCCCAGCACAGTATCAAGCAGTCAGGACTCTTATGTGTTAATGAGTTGCAAATCTGCTGTGGGCAAAAATCTAATGGTAAGAGTTTCTACTAGGTACCTGAGAAACATATTTTTGCTGATTGGTCAAATCATTTTCCTCATGCCTCACATCGTCTTTAAAGGAAGTAAAAGATAAGTTTAGGGGAACTTAACTCTTTTGGCCGACAGAAATGGTAAACAAGAATCTCTCTAGATCCTGGCTGAGCTATTACTATATAGCAGCTGGTACTGCCCATGTACAACAGACCCTGCTCTCCAACTGTGCCAACAGCAGAGGTGTGGGAGCCTCCATCCACACGCCTATGTCCGGTCTCAAACTGGAGCAAAGCTATAGTCCCCCTGCCTTCTACAACCCCCAATAGAGAAGGGGGCTTACTTATGGCTGATTCCATCACAGCCCTAGCTTCAGTTTTAAACTCAAGGGAAGCTCCCACACTGCATTCTGATTTGCTGCCAAATACAAAGCATTGCCTTCTTTTATTTTTAAAAATAGCTTTTAAAATTTATTTTTTTTAATAGGAACAATACCTTGGGGATCATCTAAGTATTGGTTCTATCCCTTTCATTTCAGACCTAAGAAAACAGACCCGCAGTGATAAAGCCACTTGGGGCCAGGCTATAGGTAGGTCTGATAGTGGCAGATCTACTGGGTCCTCAGCCAGTCCTTTCTAGGCCCTGTCTTCCAGGAGAGCACGTTCCTAGCTGGGTCCTGGAGAGTAGGTAGCAGATCCAAGACGAATCTCCAACAATAAGCAGAATGCTCACTTCTTCAGCTTTTCCCGGAGGATGAGTGCTTATTACTCTCTGGGCTGGTTGCAACTGTGATGAATTGACTTGTGTGCCACCCATGAGCCAGAGCAGTGGCTCTAGCTGTCATCTGACTTCATAAATCAAAGACAGCAGCAAAACTTGGTGTGCCAGGTCTACCGACTAGAACCCGGGCAAACAGCAAAGGGTTTTAAACATTCATTCATCTGTCCCTCTATTTCACAGAGCCTTCCTCCTAATTTAGCTTGTATTCAAACAGCTTCCTTGGGGGAAGGGATGTTGTTCCACCTTCTTCACAGAAAATGCCAGTCATTCGTTCTTAATAAGCTATAAAAAAAACCCCATGATAATCTTTAGTAAATAAGGCAGGGGAGGTGAGAGATCAAAAGCAGATGGAAAAGGAAAATGACCTCACGGCAAGTTTAAAGTGTGCTTCGTTCTCTTCACAAGAGGAATGAATAGACCGAGTCTCCACAGTGAAGCCTCCCAGCTCAGAGCAGAGAGACGTCATTGCAGGGTGTCAGAAACCAGAAGATGGGCAGAACCAAAAACGAGGTGAGAGAAGGGAGAGGCTGCAAGAAAACCCAAAGGCACAGCCTCTGCTCGAGGTCTGCACTATGCCCACGTTTCAAACCCTTCTGAGGGCCGGCTCTTCCTCTGCGGCCACGTTACTCACACAAGAAGGCCGACAGCAGAGCTGACGTTTACCAAGAAATGGACAGATTAGCACTCCCAAACTCGTGTTTTAAAAGAGTCAAGGCCAGATCTTACTTTCCCGGATCTGGCATCTGTGTACACAGCAACCGCAGGGACTGGAAGCTCCTCCGAATAGAATGAATGTTTGCCATCCCCATAAACACCACTTCACAGTTCGGGTAATACTCTAGAGAGAGACAATAAAGAGAACACAAATACAGTGAATGTAAAACCCACACGGTCAGATTTAAAAGCAGCAAACAGGCTATAAACCAACACCCAGCAGCTGCTGACGGAGGACACTGCAGTGTTTGGATAGTTCACTGTTAGCCGAGTCCTCTGTTGGAGGAGGAAACACTGCTTGGGGGTAGCTGTCTTTGCAAAATGGGAGAAAACAGGAAGGTTGGGTTTTTGAGATGACAGGGTTTTTTATTAAGGCAGGCTTATAAACCTCTCTCTCTCACACACTCTTCTCTCACCCTGAATTTACTCCTTGCACCTCATCTAACTTGTGCTCAAGAATCTGTTCTTCTGACAAGAACCCAGCAGAACGATGCCTTCACTTCACACCTTGATACAGGCTTTCAATTCCCAGCTTTGACTACCTCTGAAAAGGGGTCCGGGGAACTTGTCTTGCTCAATCAGCACACAACTGCACCTCAAAGAGTCTCTCCCTGGGGAAAGCCAGCACTCACATGGCAGGGGTGTTATAGGTCAGGATAGAGGCACTTTGCTGGGATTCTGTATGTACTGCCTTACTTCCCAGGTCAGCTGTTCTAAGCAGAAGCCATTTGAGTTTCCCATAAGACACGTGAAGAGTATATTCACTGTCAAAGACAGCAGATAGCTCTTAGAAGGCCAAGAGTCTGAGACGTGAAAATAAGGGCTCCAACACAGTGGGGGAATGGTGCCCGATCTGACCCCACCACACTGAGGCAAAACACTAAGGGCGTGCAACAGAACAGCAAGGGGAGCAGAGCAACAAAGTCCCGAAGGAGGACCAAAAATAGACTGTGGGGTCAGGGCTTGGCACCCCATCAAGACTCGACTGGAAAACACTCCAAAAGGTCAACAAACAGACCTTGAACTATTTACAGGCTTTTCTCTTTTTTGTCATTGGCTTTTTGTTGTTTTGTTTTCTTTTGTTGCTTTGTTTTGCTCTGTCTTGTGTTTGTGCATATTATTATCTCTGCATGTCTATCTAGCTAAGATAGGCGGAAAAACAATCTGGAGGAGAAAACAACGGGCTCAACGGTTCCAGAGAAGACATAGGAGAGGGGGAGGGGGAGGAAAGGAAGTGGTGTTAACAAACCCAGGGACAAGGGAACAACAAGTGATCCAAAATCGTTGGTGAGGAGGGTCTAAGAGGCCTGGTAAGGCTTGATCAAAGGCAATGTAACCGAGAGGAATTACTAAAACCCAAATGAAGGCTGAGCATGATAGTGGGACAAAAGGAAAGTAAAAGGAAATAGAGGAAAGAACTAGGGGGCAAAGGGCATTTATAGAGGTCTAAATAAAGGTATGTACACATGTAAATATATTTATATATGATGGGGAAATAGATCTATGTGCATATATTTATAGGTTAAGTATTAAGGTAGCAGAAGGACATTGGACCTCCACTCAAGTACTCCCTCAATGCAAGAATACTTTCTTCTATTAAGTTGGCATTCTATGATGCTCACCTTCCAGGCACGATCGCTGAAGACAAAGTGGGTGAATAAGCAAATGTGGTGAAGAAAGCTGATGGTGTCCACTATCAAAAGATGTAGCACCTGGGGTCTTAAAAGGCTTGAAGGTAAACAAGCGGCTACCTAGCTCAGAAGCAACAAAGCCCACATGAAAGAAGCACACCAGCCTGTGTGATCATGAGGTGTCCATGGAATCAGGTATCAGGCATCAAAGAACAAAAAATCATTTATCATTGTGAATGAGAGGGAGTGCAGAATGAAGACCCAAAGCCCATCTGTGGGCAACTGGACATCCACTTACAGAAAGGTGCAGTGTAGCAACGATGTAACATACAACTTTCCTCTAGTGCTTAAAAGCTTCCTCCCCCCACTATCATGATCCCAATTCTATCTTACAAATTCAGGTAGCCCAGAGGATGTGCACTGGTACAGATAGGAACTGGAAACACAGGAAATCCAGGACAGATGAACCCCTCAGGACCAGTGGTTGTGGGACACAAAGATTTCTCCCAAGTTGTCTCCTCCAATTGTATCCCAAACTTAGCTGTTTGCTACATGTGGCAAATGACTATACACTTGGAGGTCATCAGAAATAGATCAGAGGTTATTCTCCCTAAGGGTAATCAACCACCTAGAGCAAGCAGTCACCACTGTTTATCCCACAAGTAGGGCCCACTCCCTTCTGATAAGGATAGTTGTCTGTTTCCTTGTAGGAGACCCCAGAGAGGTCAAGCCCACCCAAGGGTGACCAAGGTTAGGTTACCATCATGAATCTAGGGTCTGCCCTTGTCACATGCATACCTCTAGTTCCATCCCTTTCTATCATGTGTACACCCCTAGCTCATCCCCTTCCTGTCACCTTATGCCTATTGTACTGCCCTGCCCTTTCCTACAATGTGTATGCCTATTGTATAGCCCCTTCCTGTGACGTGTGGTTACCTGCAATCATGCCCTCCTAAGTAGTTATAATGCTTGGTTAGCAATAAAGTTGAGTCTCTGGCTCTCACACCCGGGGGATCTCCTCATGAGGACCACCAAGCGGGGCCGAGGTGAGCATGCTACCATGAATTGTGTCTGACTCCATTACTTCAATCTCTCTTCTCCTCTCTCATGCTCTCTATGACTTCCCTATATCTTTACTTTCTACCGCTGTGCAATTGCGCCTACCGGACCAGTGATGATTTGTTGGGGGCCCTCCTTTCCCCTGCAAGTGGTGAGAGTGGCCATACCAGGAGGGTGAAGGGAAGGCTGGGTAGTAAGGGGGAACCGATTACAAGGATCTACATATAACCCCTTCCCTGGGGACGGATAACAGAAAAGTGGGTGAAGGGAGACGTCAGACAGTGCAAGATATGACAAAATAATAATTTATTAATTACCAAGGGTATATGAGGGAGGGGGAAGTGAGGAGGTAGGGGAAAAATGAGCTAATACCCAAGGCCTCAAGTAGAAACAAATGTTTTGAGAATGATGAGGGCAACAAATGTACAAATGTGCTTGACACAATGGATGGATGGATGGCTTGTGATAAGAGTTGTACGAGCCCCTAATAAAATGATTTTTTTAAGTAAAATAAGGGCTCCAAACATGAATGAGAAGGTTTTCTTGGCACTGAACGGGGCAGAACAACTATTTGGTTTCACGCCCGCCGTGCTACAACTGCCCCCCCAAAAGGCTGTGAGCAGCTGAGGAGCATGGCTGGCCCTCTTTTCACATGGAGAACCGGGTCTGAGTTGGGGATGAACTGAACCCCCAAGGACAGAGCCCTCGTGGGGGAGCCCCGTAGAACTCACCTGGGCATTCACAGCCTCCACCTTTGGCTCGGTTTGCCACAGCTGCTGCATAGGAGCGTGCGTCCAAGATTAAAAGTTTCTGTGGTTGGATGACTAAATTCTCTGCTCCTGAAGCATTTGACAGAGAGGAATCTAGAGATTGGTGGGAGGAGGTGGGGGGGGGGGCACAAGGAAAAAAGCAAATGAACCCCTTTCTCCCCAGACAGCAAGAAAATAAGAGCTAAGGGCAAACATTACAGTATTACAGTGACACAACCAAAACCCTCGATACACAGGACTGCTCTAGTCTCTAGTTTACCTTTTTATAAAAGCTGACGAACATTTCCTGTCCAAAACCAACTTCCAGACCACAATGGGGGTGGGGTCCTTGTAGCCCAGTCTCCTACTCCTCATTTCACCATCAGGCCTTTCACAGAGCCCAATACCTTACCCTGGGTCTGGTGGCGCTGCAAGGACCCAATCTATTAAATCTTCCATTCTAGCCACAGGGGCAATAAAGACAACGATCTACACCCTCTGAAAACAAAGTTGAAACAGTCTCCTGGTTTTTTGCCAGCCCACAACTCCTCAAACAATCCGGTCCACTGAAGCCTCCCTGTCTCCCCTGTGAAAGACTGTTCTAAAGAAAATGAAAAGTGCTGAGATGCAATTAAAGATGCTCCCATGGAGAAGCCCTTACCAAACTCGACATCCGAAAGGTCGGCCCTGTTGGGAAAGTCTCTGGGGCTGTTCCGAGCTGAGAGTTTGCTGCCACTGGTCCGGGAGTCAGAGGCACAAGCTTTAGCCACGGACTGCACTAGGTGCTCGTCGTCAGCGT